CGATTAAACGAGTATCTTAATCGTCCATCTGTCGATCTCCAATTTTCAAGATCAAGAACAACAGAACAAGCTGCGGTAAGCGTCCGTGAACCTAGCGACGAGGATCTCCGCTGCAAACTTTAGGGAAAGCTGCCCAGAGGTAGGCGGTCCGCGAGGAAATTTTAAAGGCCGTAGGGTATCGTGATCGCGACCCGCGGCTCGCGCCAATAGGAGCGCGTATCGAGACCTTTGGCGAGGCGTGTAGCCGAGGGCATTCAGGGGTTCCCTTTGACCGGCCGGCGAACGGCTTTGATGCAGGGTGTAATGGAATCTTCCTCTCTGTTCCGACCGCCGCGCTGGCGAGGGCAAGAAATTTCACCGGCGACGCTGATAGGAAACTGTTGCGCAACCAGATGGCGAGAACCGGGTCGCCGGCGGGGGCGAGGGGCGACACGCGCGCGGCTCCCGTGAAAGGAGAGTCCGGGCGGCGCTGCCTCGCGACATTAATTTTCCCCGGGAGACCAATCGACTTGAAAGCCCGGCGTGACTTGAAATTCCGCGTCAATCAAATTAAGTAACAAACAAGTTCGCCGGGGAACGAGACTCCGAGGAGAGGAACGTCGCCGTGACTTCGAGGGGGTTAGGAGAAGTCGACGGGAGAGGCCGATCGAACGTACGACCGGTCACCGGGACGATTTTTCATTTGCCTCGACGAGACGAACTTTTAAGTGCTCCCCGATCGTGCTCGAGAGACTCCGATTCTCCTTCTCTCCTCTCGTTACTCGTCCTCGCGAGATCCTGCGAAGCGTTCTCGCCGATCAATCGAACCTAAACGAAGCGCCCGACGAGAATTCAGAGGAATATAATTGTAGAGAAATAACGGATGATATCTTCCGTCGGCTTCCCGTCGGCATCCATTATTTATTAATCGCGACGAAAGGGAGGGCAGGTCGCGTGACGGATCGCGGCGGAACGGGAGATCGGGGGAATTAAAATTCATTGGGTGGCGGGCGTGCGTCTTTCCGGGTCGCGATTCACCGAGCGTGAGGCTCCTCGGAATTATAACATTTATCCGTTAATTTACGGGCGGGGGGAGCGCAAAGAACGCCGCGGAAGCGCCCTCGATAAGGGCCCTTGCGCGGCGGTGCACTTTTGTCAGCCCGCCGCTCGCCCCTCCGGCACTTACGGATGACAAATTAGCGAGATAACTACTGCCGCCGGATAATAAACGCCCGGGAACACGGTTGTACGTAACGGCGACGCACGAACGTGATAATTTCGGAATAATTGCCGACCGCAACCGCCGGCATTGATCAAACTTCAACCGTGGGACAAGCGATCCGTCTTCGACGTGGACAACCGTGCGCCGTCGCATCGCCTCGATTAATTGTTAATATTAATTTCCCCGGGACACCGGCGGGGCCCTGTTCCCGACGTTGTCAACGCGCTTAACGCGCCCGTGACGCGTGACGTACGCGCGTCGAAGCTTCGCCGACTATTCCCGCGTACGATCGAACGGGGAACCGTACGTTCAATCGAACGAAAACGCTCGACTCGCCGATCGTCGCGTTTCGAATCGACGCGCCTGCTCGCGGGGGATCGGGCTCGCGATGAATTCGTTCGAACGAATATAGCACCCCACGCTGTCCGACGTTTCAGGCGCAGGCCGCACGCAATCGCTGCGAACGAGTTAATCGGCGACACGTGCCGCGTGTACGGGCGTTTCTGTAAAAGGATCAAAAGCTCCGCTCGCGTGCGAACTAACGAGAGCGTTACAAGGAAAGGGCGTGCGTTCGCCGGTAAGATCCGCGCTCTTCAATTTCTCCTTGAGCGATAAGCGGATCTGCCTCGGATTTCTATCGATTTCGCCGCTACTACGTGATTGAGGACTCTTTTGCGGCGCGTACGTTGGGAATCCTTTGCGCTCGCCCATCCAATATTACAAATTAACAGATACATCTCTCGTGTACTCTAATCCACGCGATGTAACAGATAAACCGGAACCGCGAGAACGTGGAATACTCCGGGCAAATACGTCGAAGCCGGTGATGCGCGCGGAAAATCATCGTGGAGTACCGAGGATCGTCGCGTCGCGGAAACTCGATTACGACGCTGGCCAGACTGGAACGACGACTGAAACAGTCTCTGCTCCTTCTTGATATGTCGGCCGTAAAGACGGTCCTTAAACGAGATTAGACCGCGAGGGTGGTCGGCAGCCGTCGGTTTTACGACTCGTCTCGAATTATCGAACCGTCTCCGGCGAAACTGTCGCGAAGTCGTGTCCCCCCGACTGTAAATTCATTTATAGGCGTCGATTCGATTTCATTATTTATCAACGGTACAGGATCCGGCCGGCTTTACACGCCTGTAAATCGGCCTCGTTCGGCCCGCAACGGGGAAACGAGCGTGCCGCTCGAATGTTTCTCGATTTTTAGGGTCGCGCGAGTTCCCTGGCCCCTGGAAGTTCCGTTGCGCCTCGCAGAAACGGGGACGGAGCTCCGACGGGAATCTAAATGCGATCCGAGCGAAGGCCGAGTCGACCCGAATCGAAATTCGACACGAACGAGCAGCGAATCGACCGAAACGGTGACCGATTGCGCGACGCTGGAATCATCGGGAGCTGGAAAAGCGACGGAAGATTAATTCCGCGGAAAGGCCGGAAGGTTTTCAGTCTCGCGAGAGATCGAAGAGTGCCGGCCCGGACACGTCGCGTTTTACGAGGGGCGGTCGCGCAGCCATCCCGCGGACAGTAATTGAAAATTACGAGGGAACACGCGACGCTCGTGAAACGACGCTCCCCGGGATTCTTCTTTCGGTGTTTTACAGCTGTTCGAGGCTCTCCGAGAACCTGTCGGCGACCGGCAAGTCGGTGATCGAACGACGCTATTAATTTCCATCTTGTTCCTCGCCGTCTCCGGTTTCTTCTTTTTCGCCGCGGCGCCCGAGAGTTTCACGACGGAACTCCCGCGATCGCGGCAATTCCAAGTTCCGCGACGAGTCGATTAATTTGCGGCGGGCGTGGAAACGTCGACGGACGTTATCGAGTCGAATGTTCCGTTGATAAATTCTCGATGGAAGAAACGGCAACCCTCGGAGCCGGCGACGGCGCTCGATATTCAACGGCTTCTCGCTGGGACGACGGAGCGCGCGGCGGGGGGAACGGATTTTTCTCCTCCGCGCGGTGTCAATTAATTAATTACGGACGTTTGCGCCGAATAATCAAGCTTACACGCGGCGGCCTGTAATCAATTCGGTGTCGCGCGGCCGCTTCGAGCCCTGTTCCACCGAGGAATATGAAAAATCCATTCTTCGCTCTCTAATTACTCGACGGCGTTCGTTAAAAATTCTGTAAAAACAGCCGCGGACGCGCCGAGCGCTACTTACGCATCGGCATCGGCGGGCCGCGGCGCCATTAGAAACGGCCATTAAAAGTTTCGCGCGGATTCAATCGCGGAACGGCTCGCGTTGCTCGCGCCCCCTTCAGCGCGGAGACAAAGGATCGCGATGAAAAACGGGCAAGACACGAGCGAGACTTGCTCGCGGAAATTACAAAAGCCTCGGCTCGGATCGCGGCGTCCGTTGCGCGTACCGTTGCGGCCGGACTTGTTCCGCATCAACGTTTCCTTTCTGTCCCGCTTAAGTCCCTACTTTGCATGCGCTCTTTACGACTTTCCCCTCGTTTCACACGTTTCTCCTCCCGTTTCTTTTTCGAAGGTAAATAAATGAAACGAAACGAAACAAAACGGGACGAGAATGAAATGAAAATACGTCGGAGGCGCGAACGCTTCGTCGAAGAGGAGAAAAGGGTCAACGGTTTCCGTTACGATCCTCGCGGAGCTCGTGGCTCGTGCGAGCGGGAAGCGGCCACGCACACGCGGCCGGCCGCCACACGAATACATCATCTTTAAAGAGTAGCGGCAGCGAAACGAGAGTCTTGCCAACAGTTGAGTCATCAGCGGAGAGGGCCGACCGGCCAGCCGGCCGGCTCTTTCGCTATAATCGTTCCTCCGTGGATAGTAAATCCGGCCGAAAGGCCGTCTGAAATTATTACGGGTAGCAGGGCCGTGCTGTTCGGCTCCGGAACCATGCCGTCGCGCGAGAGATTTACAAACTGCCAATCGCTTTAACGCGGCCGGCGTTCCGCGAGCCAACTCTCTCCTCCCGACGACGGTTCGTTACGATTTCGCGAATCGCCGCGAGACGGAAACACGCCGGATCCGAACGCTCCTCCCCGTAACGCGCAGCTGGTACACGGAGGGAACACACGGAGGCGCGAGTTACGAGGCCGACGACACGTTTGCTGCTCGATTCGCGTCGGTTACAGCCGCCGCGTGTTCGCCGGTATCGATACCGGGATCCGGGGTAATCGCCGCGATTGCATCGTCGCGCGATCGATCGCTCGCCGGCACGCGACACCGCGCCAGAAATCGATGTTACGCGAGTATTATTCTTGGCAACGATATCGGAGCCCCCGCCGAGCGAGCAGAGCAAATTGGGAGGAGAGGGCCGAAGGAAGCGGCGAAAGTTCGCGAGTCGTTCAACGGTATCGTTGCCAAACACGAGGCAACTTCGTTAAGTAGGTATTAATGCGTGTATCGCGGAGCGTACGGGCAGCGGGGAGGCGAAGGGTGTCTCTTCGCGTCTTGGCAACGCCGAACCGACCAATCAATCCGATTCCTCGGCGTCGTTTTCCCGCTGCGAGACACGCCGGTCTCGTGTTTCGCGAGAAACTCGAGGATTGAAGAGACCGACCACCGTCGGGGGATCGTTAACGCCGGATTCGATGTGTTCTAACGCGGGACTGTGTTTCCAGGTAAATTAATAGCCACGAACGCTCGCGATAACCCGTCGTTCGAACGTTTCCCGTGACGCGGCCGCACGCGAGGCGCATTACCGGTGTTTTTCTTTTCACGTCCTGCTCCGTCGAACGTTTTATTGCCACCGTTGCCGTGTACTTTTGTCGTCGTAAACGGTAATCGCTGGAGATATTTACAGAGGATATCGTGGAAACCGTTACTCACCGTTTGTGCTGAATCTTGAGGCCTCTTCGCGGGTGCAGCGGTATGCCGTCCTTCAGCCAGTGCACCCTCGGGGGCGGGGATCCCTTCGTTCGACACACCAGCTTCACTCTTTCCCGTAACCTGGCTATCGAGTCCCTGAGCTCGGACAACGTTACTTCCCTCACTGAAATCAGACGAAATTCTGTAAATAACCACTCTTACGTGGAACTTGACAGTATTAGAATATTGGAATTCTCGCGATTAACCCCTTGCCGTACAATGACGAGTGAGACTCGTGATGAAAATTTCTAAACAAGAGTCAATGTTGTTCATTATCCACGAATCAAAGCAAACAACTATTGTGCTATTATCTATGTATTATCTTCAAATGAAATTTCCACCTGAAGTAGAATGGAAAATTTTGTTGTACTTCTTACAAATTGTCGATAGTAAAATATTACACGAGCTTAGTAACGAAAGTAAATAGTACGACATTTATTCTACACTTTGTTCTATCGCTCCTAGAAGACCGCATGTTTGGTTTCGAAGATCTACAGGAATAAACATGTGGTCTTCTAAGCGCGATAGATCAAAGTGTAGAATAAATGTCCGTAAATCTAGCGTTCATCGCGAGAATTCTAATATTCTACTGTTTGAGTTTACCGAGTTTCAAGAACAGAATTATGTGTATTCGCATAGTTGCACCAATCAGCGTCGACTCAAATTCTCACGAATTAAAGTTCAACGCATTCGATATCGAATTCACGTTCCGTAAATCCAGCGTCGAGCGTTTCGACTTCTCTCCGTCGTTTCCCAGCTCGCGTTCGTCCTCGCGAGAACATTACCGTTGTCGGTGAATATTATCGAGGCAACTTCCGGTATTTTGTCGCGCGAAAAGAATCATCGTGGACACTAAACTATTCGTCACGGCCGCTGAAAGAGCGCGGCGGCATAACGGCCGCGCGGCGGGACGCGATTACGAGGAAAGTTGGTAGGCAACGGTGTGGCTTCTTTCGCGGGAAACGCCGGGGCGCAATGAATTTCACGGCGTCCGAACCTACTCCGGCGAAAGAGAATTTTTAAAGCGGCCACTTTCGAACTTTCTCCTCCCCTCCCCCCTCACCCCGCGTACCAAAGTACGTGTTCCGAAGTTTCGGGGAAACTTCCGGGCGAAATCCCGGCGGAGTTTTAATAAAGTTTCCGCGAGTCCTGCCGCCGCGCTGCCCGTCAAAGGAAACGACTCCATGAGGGTACGGATACCCGTCGTTCAGCGACGCTACACTAACGAATCTATTTTTCACGGGCTCGCGTTACAACGGGACGACGGCGCGGAAATGGACAAACGGCCAAGGAAAGTGCTCCGGACCCTTTCCCTGACCCCTCGGGCGTTCTCGCGAAGCGCCGGAGGTAAATTGAAGAATACCTGAAACGCGACGCTCCCCTTTGCGAAGCTCGCTGCCGTGTCTCCTCGCGAGAAATCGGACGCCTTCGCCCCCGCGGACGTTACGGACCGATTACGTTACGACCGAGATCGCGTTTCGTCGATCTCGTTCGAGGTCTTGAAACACGGGAACGTTTTACGCGCTACGTTTACGCGTTCCACTGCGAGAACGCGCCGCGACACGCTCTCGATCGCTTCCGTAACGATTCGCATCGGGTTGCGAGCGAATTGTTTCGCGAGTCGCAGCTACAAAGTAATTCTATCGCGTTGCGTTTCAATTACACTGTATATTAAATGTATTGAAAATAAATTGCGATGCGGTTCAATTAAACTCACGATTGGAGTAATTGGCAGTTAAATTGATTGAATCGTTTTAATTATGTAATGCAGCTGCGAGACAATTCGAATAATATGCGGAGTGACGGCACCGGTAATTCAGCTGGTATCGAGCTGGCCGTTTTTTCAGGGAAACGTGGAAAATAAGGTTTTCTGACGCGATGATCAAGAATGATAATCTTATTGGAAGTAGCGATGCATTTGAATCAGCGCAACGCTAGTTACACGGTTCTTACTTGAACGCGAAGAAAACGCGCCGCGTAAACCGGTCGTGTAGTCCTGGCCTAAAGGCTATTTCCGTAGAAACTTGAACGGAACGCGTTCCGCCGCGGCGGAGGAGGAGCAGAAGGCCGCGCGACGTTAACCGCCGGCGCTTGCCGGGGTTACCGTCCGCTATCCTCCAGCTCTCTGAAACAGAAGCCGAAAGGCACGCGTGTTTTGTGAAATACTAGACCCGGGTAAACATTCCCGTTCACTCGAGCCGAGTGGCGCACTCCGCTCGCGCCGCTCGACAAGTATTTGCCTTTTTCCCCTGGCCGATCCCTTCTCCGGAAACAATAACCATTCCACGGATGCGCGTACATTAAGCCGGCCGTGCCCGGTGGAAACGCGGAGATCGGTTACCGCGTCGAGATGGAAAGAACGGGACCGAGACGGGGAGATCGGTCTCGATCAATCTGCTCGGCCAGGTCGCCGGCCCGCCGCCGGTAGCTCGCGGCGAATGCGAATGGGAATGGAACTGAACGCTTGAAAGCGTTTTAATTATCCGACGAGCGTAAAAGGTTTCCGGGGCATGGAATCTCGGCCGAAGTCGATTACGAGGTTCGTGACCGTGCGTTTCCAATTTCTGGTCTGCCCGCGCTGCCCGAAATTGCCGGAACAACGGGCGCCCGATGTCTTCGCGTTCCTTTTGCGGCGTCTCGCAATTTTTCACGAGAACGCCGGCTCGCCCGCCCGCCCGCTCGCACGTCGGAGCGAACGTTTTGACTAGCGTGCTGCCCGTAATTACACCGTTCCCTCGGGACTGGAACCCGAAACGCGACGCTCGAATTATCCGGGACGTTCCACGACGACTCGCAGCGAGAAACGCCTCGGGCATTTAATACGTTTCCATCAATGTCGTCGTCGTCGTCGTCGTCGTCGTCGTCGTCGTCGGCGCTGGGCGGCGTTACCCGAGACCCTGCCGTGGCGCCGGGCTTCGTGTTTGCCGCGGTGATCCTGAATAGCGTCGCTCCGCTACGGATTCGCCTTGCCACGTCTGCTCTCGTCCCGCGGCGGGACGCGTCGCCTTGTATCTGGCGGACGGGACGTCGAGATTTGACGGTTAACGTTACGCGAACCGTGGCACGCGACCTCACCATTTCCGTTCGGCGGTCTTCCGGCCAGCGGATCGATGCGGCGCGACTTTAAAAGGCAAATCGGCCGGGCGTTTATAGACCGGCGAGAAGTCACGACCAAAGGAAACGGCGGAACGGTTCTCGAGTTGCTAATTTTTCCCTCCCTTTTTGTTTTATTGCGGCTGGTAATGGGTATTTAACAACGGCGCGCCTTTGGCTCCCGTTCGCGGTCGGCTGCGAGGTATTCCGTGCAAGTGGCGCGAGTCGACGCATGGAGCCACGTCGTTGCTGGTTATCGATACAAACGCTCGGGAAGTGGATGCAAAACGTTCGCTGTTCTTTTCGTCGTGTCTGAACGGAGCGATTCGCTTTGCACGTTTGTGAAGAGTATCGTTGTTACCGTGCTCTGTTATTATCCGATCGCATTCTCCTCGTTTCATCGCGTGCGCTCGTGCCAATTATTTCCGTGCGATATGAAACCGGCCGAACGAGCACGAGCGGATAAATTCAACGTTCGGTTAAGAAGTCCCCGATTCACCGGTGGGATTAAGATCAAGCGAGAGCCACAGTGGAATAAGTCAACGTACGAACGGGCAACGCCGAATCGACAGCTGCCCGGCATGCGAGGACTTTAATTGCCATTTCCGGCTGCGGATTCGATTCGCGGATATCCAAGATACGGCCGGGGTCGACCCGTCGATGCCGGGGACCGGTCGGTCCGACATTATACGCAATTTTTCGGTTCGCGGGCGTCGGTTGTTCCCCGCGCTAACGATACACCGAGCGGAGGCTATTAAAAAAATGGAACCGCGACGCGCTGGCCGGCGGTCGTGGGATTAAGTCGCGGGCATATTAATTCGACCCCATGATCCAAAGTGCTTTTGCGCGTCGGAAACGGCGGAGCAGTAGCGGCGATGCCTGAAATTCGCTCGGCGGAAGAGGATTTCGCGTCTGAATCCTGCGCGTTCGTTCCATTCGTTGCCGGCCGCGTGTGCGCGCATCAGCGCGTCCGCCGAGCGACGGGAAAGGGACGGCCGGCGAGAGGCAGTCGGTCGACGGAGAAAAATCGGGGCGGAGGGAGAGGACCGGCGACGGCGGAAAGGGACGGGCAAGTGGACCGGAGGCCGTAGGAAACGCGCGAGAGGGAAAAAGAACGCGTGGAACGGGGCGGAGAGAGGTCCGAAAGGCGGATATTCACGGTATTCCCATGTTGCTCGAGGCCGCGTGCGGTCCCCGTCAGCGAAACGTCGTTTAACGATTAGCCGTGGTGAACTGACGCCGAAATTCAAATTTAAATGGCACTCGCGGGAGACCCGACCCCCCCGCCCTCCGCTCCCTTGCCCCGGCGAGAGATCTACGGGCGCCCGAATTTATGCTGGAATTGCGCCGTAACTGTCGCGGAAACTCGGAAAAGAGATCGCCGGGGTGCGAACCGTTAATAGTTCCGGGGGTTGGAGTCTGCCGGCCGGGTGAGAGCGCCGGTGGAGCGATCGAGAATGGAAAAATTCCCGCCACGCCTCTCGACGGTCTCGCCCGCCGGAGCGGTTTTCCCTCGTTCTACCCTCCGATGATGGACAATTTCGAGCCGTAGAAGAAACAATGCTCCCGGCGCTGCTCTTTTTCCGAGGGAGAGAAAAGGGGAGCCCATTTCCTAAGGGTAGTCGTTACCGCGAAAGATGCGGTTCTCTCGGGGGATAATGACATAGGAAGATACCCGGCGTCTCTCGCGTATTCGTTCTAGATCGATCGCGGCGTCGAAGGGGACGGGGAGAGGAAAGACGGTGGCCGCGCGGGCAAAAAAAGAAGGGAACAGGGCGAAGTCTGTCGGGCGGCGTGTCACGGGGCCGCTACTAGGGATGAAACATGCTGAGCGGCCGGCAAAGAGAGCGGCAAGGTTGATTAATGGACGCGTCCCCGAAAGAGCAAAATAACAAATAGCGCGTTGCCACGTTGCCCTCGGACTGACGCGATGGCGGCGGCCGTTCCCCGCCGGCAACGGGGTGGCGGATCGCCGGAGGAGGAGGAGGAGGAGGGCTGCGGCGAACGGCCACGCTGGTTGCTTGATTCATA